GCACCCAAGAATAAGTAAGGAGAATATTGGGCTCTCAAACCAATTCAAGGTTATAGGACTGTTTCCGGTGTCAATGGTCCTTTGGTTATTTTGGATGACGTGAAATTTCCCAAGTATGCTGAAATCGTCCGCATTACTTTGGCTGATGGAAGTGTGAGGACTGGTCAGGTCCTTGAAGTCAGTGGGAAGAAGGCCGTTGTTCAAGTTTTTGAGGGCACAAGTGGTATTGATGCCAAGAATACGACATGCGAATTCACAGGGGACGTTTTAAGAACCGCTGTATCGGAAGACATGCTTGGTCGTATTTTTAATGGGTCTGGAAAGCCCAAGGATGGGGGGCCTTCCATTTTGGCTGAGGACTATCTAGACATTGAAGGTCAACCCATAAATCCTTACTCTCGTATCTACCCCAGGGAAATGATACAAACCGGTATTTCGAGCATAGACGTGATGAATTCAATTGCTCGAGGGCAAAAGATCCCAATTTTTTCCGCTTCTGGTCTTCCTCATAACGAGATTGCTGCTCAGATCTGTCGTCAGGCTGGTCTTGTGAAGAAACGTGGAGGCGATGGTGCAGAGGATGAAAGGGACAACTTTGCTATCGTTTTTGCTGCAATGGGTGTCAATATGGAGACAGCTCGTTTCTTTATGCAAGACTTCAAGGAACATGGCTCCATGGAAAATGTTTGTCTCTTTCTTAATCTGGCGAACGATCCTACTATCGAGCGAATTATCACGCCCCGCATTGCTCTCACAACTGCGGAGTATTTGGCATACCAATGTGAAAAACATGTGCTCGTCATCTTGACCGATATGAGCTCTTATGCAGAGGCTCTTCGCGAGGTAAGCTACAAATATCTTTTGAGACTAGCCTTCCAAGGTTTCTGCTGCAAGAGAGGAGGTTCCCGGTCGTCGTGGTTTTCCTGGATACATGTATACGGATTTGGCGTCTATCTACGAGAGAGCGGGCTGTGTCGAAGGGCGAAGCGGATCTATCACTCAAATACCTATTCTCACTATGCCCAACGATGATATTACCCATCCTATTCCCGATTTAACCGGCTACATTACTGAGGGTCAGGTATACGTTGATCGACAACTGCACAACCGACAGATCTATCCGCCGATCAATGTCCTTCCTTCCCTTTCTCGCCTTATGAAGTCAGCCATTGGTGCAGAGATGACTCGAGAGGACCACTCCGATGTTTCTAACCAGTTAGTACGTTAACTTTTGTCGAAAAGATTGCTTATTTACTTGATGGTACTGATTGGTTGCTTGTGTATTATAGTACGCCTGTTACGCTATTGGCAAAGATGTCCAAGCTATGAAGGCGGTCGTCGGCGAGGAGGCACTGAGTGCAGAGGATCTACTCTATTTGGAATTTTTGAGCAAGTTCGAAAAGCTCTTTATCTCCCAAGGTGCTTATGAAAATCGAAGCATCTTTGACTCCTTGGATATCGGCTGGGATCTTCTGCGTATCTTTCCAAAGGAGCTACTCAAACGCATTCCTGAGACAACACTGAATAAATACTACCCTCGCCGAATGGAGAGACAAAACTGATTCTTATTCTTCTATTTGATGTCGTCACCTTGGACCCCGTCCCAGTCGTAGCGTGACTTGTGGTCCTTGCAAGGGTTTACTTATGGAGCATAATAACTTATCGTTTCACACGCTTCTTTTCCGAGATTGTACCTTCTGTGTGTTGTCTTAAATATGGTTTTGTCAACTGAAGCAAAGTCGCCGACTTGTTTTCGTTTGGGGTTATTTCTAACGCTTATGATTGATTACTGTCTGACTACTCGTGTAGGTTGAGATAAGGACAAATTATTTTTAGGTGTTTTTGGGACGTGTGAGTAAATTTTAAGCAATTTGGGATTCAAAGATCATGGTTATTCTGATAGATTTGCAGCATTGCGATCGTGAGGAGATTTTCGGCGCAAGTACGATTTGTAGCATTTGTTCGGTGCAAAAACTTCTTCGAAATGAGTTTCGAACATGTCAGCTCCAAGCTCCACTTTTATTCCTTTCTCGTCTGCCTTTCATTTTCGTTTGACTCAAATCCTAAGCCAGCAGACAAGAGTTACGCATGACCAAATAATGTAAATCTTTGTTGTTTGTATAATTTCCGGTTCCTAGGGGGGACATTTGGTCGAACTTTTTGCACTTCATCAGGTGATTTTATTTTCTCGTTGTCGTCTACATGGCATAAAGGCATATTCAGCTTGTTTGGCCTTTAGCATTCAGTGATTTCTCATTTGTTTCTAGGGTGAGTAGGACTTGCTTG